CCCGGTGCAGCAGCGCAGCCCGCAGCGGGCAGGAGCCGCTGGGTGTCACTGCTCCATCGGGAGTGCTGGAACCCAGCCCCGCTCGCCGCCCGCGCCTCCTCCCGCAGCAGCAGCGCCGGAGGCAGGGCACAGCTCCTCCTGCGAGTTCTTACTCTAGTTCTTCCCATTCCTCCTCGTGAAGATGTACTTTTCCGCTGGCCGAGTATTTCCGTCTAAAATTGCAGGGAAAATTGGCCCTGGCATAGTTTGGCTTTTCTGTAAGGTTTCTTTGGTGGCTTCTGAACTATTTCCTGCTTAGTAGGAAGCCGTACAAATGATATACAAATAGTATAAATTAGTATAAAAATGTATATAACTTTGTAGTATAAATTATTATACAATAATATATATTATACTGTATAAATAATATAATATTACACAGTATAAATTATTATAAGATTTTTTAAAAATAAACATCTTACAATAAAATTTATTGATGGTTGGGATAGACTAGGAAAGGTGGTAGGAATGTCTGGATTGGAATTGTTACAGGAAGGTCTGTTTTCATTAAATTTTCAGTCCTGGCTTGCAATGGATAAAGGGTAAATTAATCTCTGGATTTATAACTTCAGCTGAAGCCAGAGGGGATTTACACAAGTGCTGAATTGGACTCAACTGGCTCCACGCTTTTGGATACATGTGCCAGGGATACCCGTCCCAGTAGAGCTTAAGGTCTGAAATACATTCCAGCCAAGAATATGAGCTGAAAATGGCCACTTGGATCAGACATCTGTGCCCTACAAACTTGTTCACCCTTTAATACATATTTAATCCTCAAATTGTGCCTCCGCACATATGCAGAGCAGCAAAAAATTTCCTAAGAGCCTTTATGAAATTTATGATCTACCTTACAAAATACTAAAAGTTGCAAAATCTGCGAAGGATTGCAGGAAATAAAACACAGAAGAGATTAAAAGTCTTACTGGTAACTCAGATCCATATAATAACGGAGGATTAGGTAAATGAAAATGTTCTGTGCTCTCAGGACACAACCCTTCTTGCACTTTGCACAGAGAAAGGCAGTCCCTTCCCAAAACAATTCCAACCTGTGCAACTTAAGGCACACTGTATTTTCATCCCAGTGTAGCCTGATTCAGAGGTTTTGGTTTTCAAATTGTCCACTAGAGCCTGGCTCTTAAAATGACAATGAGAATTCAGGGGAAAGGGTTGGATCGTGTTACTTATTTCTACTTCATAAAAAAGGCGGGTGCTTGTCCAAACTCAATCCTACATTTCATATCCTCTCTTCATCCTCCACAGCTCAGAGGAACTTGATGGAGAAAGCTGGGAATACACAAATACACGAACTGCACTGTGGAGCGGCAGGGTGTGCCAGCCCCAGGGCTCGCTGCTCTGGCAGCTGCCAGGCTTTAGCTTTTGGGAAACAGAAGTTCTGGATGGGATGGGATGGGATGGGATGGAACTTGAGTGCTGCAAACAAGACTAGAATACCAAAAACTCTGCTTACTGCCTCTGTTAAAGGAAAATAACTTCTGTGTGTGTGTGCCTGGGCACCTTCTGCTGGTTCAGATCTTTCAGAGCCTCCGTGGGTTTTACAGGGCATTTCATACCCTGCTGTGGCAGGAGCAGGTGGAGGCAGAGATCTTTAATCAGCTGTTAGTGACTATATCTCACCGTTGGATGGCACTCCAGTCCTTACTGCTTGTGGCCATCACAGCCTGGATTTCACTCGTACACAGGATTTTTAAGTCAAGTAGTAACGATTAGGAAGACTTTTTTATGACTAATGTGATAATAGAGTAAAATTACACTTGCAGAGCTGGCTTTAGTTTCACAGCATTAGGCTTTGAGAGGTCTATGTTGAAATCTTGCCAGATTGTTTAGTTTTTTAAATAAAGATTTCCAAATGCAGTTGGGACTCAGGGGTGATGGACTCTCTAGTGTCAGGAGAGATGTGTGTATGTTTATGATTGCAAGGTAATTTATCCCCAGGCTTTCAGTCACTGTTTTATCCTTTATGCAGTGTTTTAGATTAATGGGAGAATGTTTTCAGCAACCTTTCCTTAAGTGATCCTTTTTCCTTGCAGCAGATGCAGCATCCCTGAGTCTGGAATCACTTCCACCCGTGCTTCCCCGGGCTGCAGAACAGTGAGTGCTCCAGTCTGCACATCTCTAGTCTGGCAAGCAGAAATATTTTTTCCCTCACATTGAAGATGTTCAATGTCTGCATTTCATTCAAAGTTGTGGCTGCTGGTTTTACAAATGCAGGGAGCATTAGCTCAAATGTGGTTACTGACACAGCAAAGGTTTCCTGCTGAGACAGTGGTGTCCTTGGTGTCACTGCAGATTTGCCTGGGATTCCTGCAGGGTTTTGCAGTCTGCCCCGAGTTCCTTGCTGCCAGCAGCCTTAGCTTGGAGCAAAGGGAGTTTATTTATGATTTTCTGACTGCCCTTGAGGTGGGTATCCAAGGCAAAGTGTGTGGCAACAGCAGCGACCGAGCCTCCCCTCCTTTGGCACCCGCTGCTGGTTTCTGTGGCATCCCACCCCTGCAGTTCTGCCAGCCCCAGTGTTCATGCAGCTGCACTTGGGAATGGAGGTGGGAACACAGCTACTTCAAAAAATACCAATCCCCCCAAAAACACCACCACCACCACCAAAAACCACACCCCACAAAAAATACTTTTCTTCTGGATTAGCTTTAGGCATGACTAGGTCTCTAGTACAGTAAACCACATTGGCACATAAACAATATTTCCAGAACTACAGAACACGTTGATGCTGGGGCAGGAGGAGAAAAGAAGATAAATATCAGTACCATAAACCAGTATTACCACTCAAGACTCCATCCTGAGACACCCCAGCTAATTCTATAATTTCAGTGATCCATGGTGTTCTAAAATTTGTTGTTATTTGTAGTAGTAGTAATAACAGCAGTAATAACAGCAGTAATAACAACTATTATTATTATTATTATTATTATTATTATTATTATTATTATTATTATTATTACTATTATCTTTGTGACAAAATGCATGCCAGCCATAAGTAAGACTGTAGTTACAACAAATATCTTGTGTGGAAAGAACAGCCTGAATTCCTTTTTGTCTAGGAGGAGAACAAAAGCCTTCTCATTTCAGGTAAGCCTTTAAGATAAAAAAATAGGAAAATAAAATCTTATCTATTTTAATCAGTATTTCCTTGAAACAAGTGTGACTATTTTCATATTGTCCTCTAAAGAACAGTTCTTTCTGGAGGCACATCTTAGAGCTTTTAGAGTGTGAGAGTTTTCTCACTCTTTATTTATTTTCTGTAATGGAAGAGGAGCTCAGATCAACTCCCTTTTGCTGAGTCCGAGGGGCTCAATAAAACTGCTTGGGAAACCAGCACCGGATTTGGGATGGCAGCAGGGAGATTTACACTTTGTGTTTCCCCAGCACTGCACATAAACAAGTATCTTTCAGCTGGAACATTTTTTACAAGTGAGATACAATAAAAAAGTCTGGCCCAATTTGAAAAGTAAATGAGACAGAAAAATCCTTCTGCAGGGCAAAGCAACCTCGATGCATGGCTGGCCTTGGTGACCCCCTGCCAGGAGAAGAGGGACCTAGGAACGTTTCTTCTAATGGGTTATCTGAATCTTATCTGCTCAAACACTTCAGAGTTCAGGAAAAGCAGCCAAAGTCAATTTCTGCTTAGAGTGTTTAAAACAAAAAATAAACAGAAGGGAGAAGTTGTGCGTGTGCAGGAGGAGGCGTTGGGCTGGAGAACGGGCAGGGTGGTGGGACTGGGGAGGGAATGGTTTCACCCACACTGGCTCTTCTGAAATCCGCTTGCATCTATCCATGTTTTCGCAAATGAAAACGAAATTGCACAATCCATAATTGTGGTGATGGAGGGCTGCTGGTGCTCTCTCTGACCTGCCAGGTAGGTGAAACAATTGTCAGTGTAAATTAGAGAACAGCTGTATCGTTATTCAGTGACAGTTACCTGGTTCTGCAAAGCCTGGAAAATGCCTTCAGAGGCAGAGTTTTCAGGTCTTTGTTAATATTTTAAAGCGCTAAAAAAAAACCCAAACCAAACCCCTTCTCAGTGTGCACTGGCTGATGATTGAGATGAGTTATCTGCTCTGTGCCTCCAGCCTCCCGCCTGAACCAGCTGTTCTCAGCCCAGACATCAAGCTCCCTTAACGCTGAACGGAAATGGAAACGGCTGTACTTCACCTGTAATTTCTCCTTCAGCCTGTTGATACCTTATCTATTGACTGTAAGGGCTTTGCTAACCTGTCACCTCTGGCTTTCAGAGCTGCTCTGTTCCAAAGGAAGCTCCAAGAATGGTTGTGCCAGTTCAGTGTCTGTAAAAATCTGTTACTTTCTCTGTCTGTGGCATCAGGCACACCACGTATGAATCCTCTCTGAGTGCCTGTGATATGGAATTGAATCACAAGCTTTTCTTTACAAAGAAAACCCTTCCAACAGGAATGAATCTCTCTTTTGTAGCTGATAAAATAGGAGAAAATTTAACCAAAGCAATTTATTCTGGTTCATATGAAAAATGTTGTCAGTGAAAACATGGAACTCTTACAAAATATCAACATTTCACTCCTATCTGCATGTAGATCAATATGAATGGGTCACAGTGACCTCTCAGGGAGCAGGTGTGCATGGCAACCAAAACTAATATGTATTTTAAGGACTAAGGTCCTTAAAAAAACAGAAACCACCTTTATCCACAGAGGATCTGTTCCCAACAAGATAATTTCTGTACTGTTTTACAGTTGGTTTCAGGGAAATTTTAGCTTTTCAGTTGTTGGGTTTTTTCACACAAGGAACTTTTAAAAAGAAACAAGGGACTTCATTTCTGCTACAGCAAAGCATTTTCAATGCTTTCAATTAGAACATGTTGTTTTATGAAGTGAAAAATCTCTGCTTCCAGAGCATAGTTTGGAGTGCAGGAAAGGGCGGTATTTTCACAGGAAATTGCCAATTTTCAGTGAACCAGCATCTCTGAAATTCATTCCACCATGTAACACTTCAGTGAATCACAATAGTCTGGAGTTCAAGGTTTAGTTTCCTTATCTGAAATAGAAATATGTAGCTGAGCTTAGAAGAGCAGGGATTGAGCACTGCTTGGGAATGTTTTAGCAAAGCATCCTTTGTCTAAAAATGCTGTTTCTGGAAGAGAAAACACTTGTGGGCTTTTTACAAAAGACATCTGAGCCTCAGATGGAATTTGTAGCCAAAGGAAGAGAACGTGAGACCCTCCCATTCTGGAAGATGGAGAGGTCCAGTGGTCAGTGCTGGCAGTCCCAGCTTTGCCTTGTGCCTCCCATGCCTCAGAGAAGTGTCCTAAAGAACTGGCTCTTTGGGATGTGCCTGCGTGTTACAAGGGTTCTGTGCTCCTGTTCTCCTCTTGGAAAGGATTTGGGAGATCTTTAGTTTGGAACACAGCCAGATTTTGATACTTGAGGATATTTCTCAGATATTTATTCCTGACCAGGCTCAAGTGGTTCAAACAGTGGCTGCATCCAATCGCTTCCAACCTGTGTGCAGTCTCACTGTGCATCCTGGTTTCAGTCCTCTTTGGAAGGGTTTGTGCTCCTCTTTGGAAGGGTTTGTGCTCCTCTTTGGAAGGGTTTGTACTCTTCTTTGGAAGGGTTTGTACTCCTCTTTGGAAGGGTTTGTACTCCTCTTTGGAAGGGTTTGTGCTCCTCTTTGGGAAGGGTTTGTGCTCCTCTTTGGAAGGGTTTGTGCTCCTCTTTGGAAGGGTTTGTGCTCCTCTTTGGAAGGGTTTGTGCTCCTCTTTGGGAAGGGTTTGTGCTCCTCTTTGGAAGGGTTTGTACTCTTCTTTGGAAGGGTTTGTACTCCTCTTTGGAAGGGTTTGTACTCTTCTTTGGAAGGGTTTGTACTCCTCTTTGGAAGTGTTTGTGCTCCTCTTTGGAAGGGTTTGTACTCTTCTTTGGAAGGGTTTATACCCTGCTTGTCCCACATGTGTTGCCCAGATGAGCAGAGCCATGGGATGCGTGATCCACCTCATGGCCTGGAATTCTGGCACCATGTCCCTGCTTGGAATAGGTGGGGCTATGCACACCCAAAACCAAAATTGTGTGTTGGGACAATAAGACAGTTGGGGCTTGTTTGTGTTTAGGTTTGCACATTCTGCACATAAGCCATTGATCCCAAGTAAATAATGAACAAGAGGAAATCCATTAAATAAGTTATTCAAAATATCATAGAACTTGTCAAATTAATGATTTCACAAGAGGCATACAACCAATTGTTTTTGCAATACAGCAGTTTTTTAGGGATTAGAGAAAATCCAAACTGTGGGCAGGCAAAATCCAGTGGAGGTGAGACTAGATTTTGCATTAGAGCTTAAAAGTATGGAAAATGTTGAATTGAATAATTGTTAATTTTTTAAATTATTTTTTTTTTGCTCTTGTGAAGCAGCTTTTATGAATGCAAAGCCAGGCATAGAAGAAGGATGAATGCATGAGGCTGAGTGCAGTTGATGTTGACCAAAGAGTGGTAAATGCTCAGAAATGAAACTTTGGTCAAAGAGAAGTGGCTCAATGAGGTGTGAAGCTAGCAGAGCATCCATTACAAATTAAGAAGTAAATCTGTGACTACTTTGAAAATACTCTTTATTGCTCAAACTAAGAGCAGTCAGTAAGAACAACTTACAAAGGGGATGGAAAAAATAATATTACAATTATGGTTTAAGTGTTATGAGATTAGAAAACAAAAACAACTTGTAATTTAGTCATAAAATAATGTCAAATTGATAGGTAATATTTTCTCCAGGTTGGGGTTTTCACTCAAACTGTCATTTCTGAAGCCAGGATAATCTTTCAATGATAATGTGACTTGACAAAAATTCCCTTTTGTATAGATGTGGGTAGGTGGAGCTTGCAGTTCACTACAGACACTACAGTCCCTTGGTATTTCAACAGGACCCAGTTTTATCAGCTGTCATTATTAACTATGCCCATATTGCTCCTGCTGATTAGCAGTACTTGGCTAATGGGATAAGCAAGGTATGAGAGGTTTATTAGACACTGGCAGCCCAGTTCAAACTCTCCCTGGAACAGATATGTGGGCTTGGGCAGGGCATTTTTCTGTGGGGAGTGGGGATGCTATTGTCCAGATTT